TCCAGTAGGATCTCAGTGAAATAGCCTGGGTACCATCCGGATTTTCGCTCCAGTAAAAAAGGGATTTTTTTTTTTTAGCGTGTGGACAGTGGAAGGAGAGGGAATGCTCTGCCTTCCTATAACATGTGCCATGGACACAGTGGATCATTACTGAACAACTGCCCCATGGCTTCAACAATGCTATGGGACTACCTTAACCCTTACCTTTTCTTTTTTTTTACTGATCATGATAATTATGTTACATACTACGTGTACATGCCTACCTGCCTACCTGCCTATAGGTAAATGCTTAGGCCATCTAGCTGGCCCCTTGCTCCTCTTCATTTCTACCCTCCAAGCAGCACGGTTCTTAACTTTTTGTTCTGCAACCTTGAGGGACCATCTAGTATCATATTTATCTAATAACTTCTTGGTCCCACTACTTGGTCCCACCATAATTATTTCTAGTAACTATTTAGTCCCTACATGCATCTTTTGGAGGCTTTATAATATACAAATGAAGTATCAATTTGAAAACATCGGATTCCTTTTTTTTTAACCTTCCCAGCATCCTTGCCACCCTCTCCATCATACTCTACTCCATCATTAAGAAGATATTCCGGAGTGCGGAGGTTCGTCCCCTGTTCCATCTGGCCGTGGCCGACCTGCTGCTCGCTGCGTGCTGGTTGGTCGGCTCGTTGCTATGGCGACTGGACGGCGACCACGCCCCCGACAACGACAGCTGCTTCTACCTCCAGCTGGTCACAGAGGTACGACAGAGGGTCAAAATTTGATGTTGTCTGGAAAAGTCTTCAGTCCTATCATTACTGAATTTAACAAAAACGATTATTATTATCTTAGTATATTGCCTCCAACATCGATACCATTCCCTTGCAACATTACAGCGAGAAATGTTTTAAAGATATGAAACCTTGTCTTCTTCTAGTTGTTACAACTGTCACTTTTTTTAATCTAACAATACAGTGATTTGATTAAAAGTGTAAAATTTGTTGTTTAAAGTAGCCTGGTAAATTGACATTGTGGTGCCTCATAATGGTAGCATTTCATTTTGGCACTGTCACAGGATTTCTTGCAGAAATCCGACAGCCAACAAATCAAATTGGCGTGGTCTTATCTTAAGGCCACACCAATTTAATTTTGGTTCTCGGATTTTTTCAGAAAAAATATGAAGCGACAGGGCGAAAAAAAAATAAAAATAAAAACAGGTCTAGGCATCCTATTATAGGCTTAAATGCTACAAAATGAGCCATGAAGTCAACACAAAAGGCT